GTTACATCGAGGTCAACCGGACGGAGTAGGTTCTTCAAGACGTTTCACCTCTCATCCAAGAGGCTCTAAATATATTGTAACTATTTTTGGTTAGTGACATTTTTCAATTATTTGTATTTATTTTATCTAATGTATAAGATGATACGATCTTCATATCTTTACAACACGTCTATTTCACTTTCTCGAAATTTCTTTTTCTGAGAAGCTCAGCAGTAAATGTTGAAGAGAACTGTAAGCTGAGAAAACAATGGAGCTGTTGTTGGTTCTGAGAGAGAACATCAGACTGAGGCTGCACTCACTGAGCTGCTGCTGCCACTGCTGCTGCTACTGCTGTTACTGCTGCTGCCAATTAACTGTATGACAGCTTGTTTTTCCCAGCTGGCACTGCAGCGCAGAGCTCATGAAAGTGCTGCTACTGCTGCTGCTCACTTCAAGGTCATCACCACCTTCAACAGTTAGCAGGACACGTGGTCGTGGACCGACTCTGGCCAAGTTGGACTGCAGCATTTCTAATAGGTCTCCACTGTCCAATCAGAAGTCATCATGTTCATCTTAATGGGACCTTCCCTTAACACTGTTGTTATTCTCTCCATCCAGTCACACAGGCGAAGGCTGGAAACATGACTTCAGGCTGTTGTGAGAGAACGCTGAGTCGGTGAAACCACTCAGTCGTCCAAATCAATACATGAACACGGTCATTTTATTCCAGAGGTCAACAGGGTTTCATTACTTCTGCTTCCTTAGTAAATATTAATTATTTTATTTATGGCTCATCACTCAGTGACCTGGACCAGACCATGTCCACCAGCTGAAGACACCGTGGTGGAACTGTCAGGGTTCCACTCCTGTGGTGTCTTCACTGAACGTTCATCACTTTATGATTTGTCACTGCATGACTGTGAGTTCGTGAAACTGCAGCCTGAGACGGACAGTTAGCAGGGTTGGGTTGGTAGTTAGAAAATCTCATTAAATCCTCGACCCCTCCCCCCACATACCAGCTGACTGCAGCTGCAGCCACACACAGCCTCCGCTGTAATTCCTGCTAATTCAGCACTCTGCCTTCACTCCTGTTTATTTTTGAGCTGTGAGTGTAAACTTTTTGGGCCTGGCGTGCGACGCCTACTTTTAGCACTCATCATGGCGAGATGGAGAAGATGCAGGGGCAAAGCAGGAACCACAGGATGTCTGAAAATACCCCAGGATCACCACAGGCTGGGCTGCTCCTCCACAGCAGGACAGAACCTGGTCAGAGAACTCTGGGAACAGAGTTCCTCCAAATATCTGAATTGGACTTGAAAATTCTCATGACTGAGGCTTTCAGTGCTGAACTCAATATGTGGCACAGATTGAGTTGATGAACGTCCAGCTGGGCTTCGCAACACACACACACACACACACACACACACACACACACCTGCATGTCTTTTACCCAGTGGGGTGGGGGGGTCATATGTCAGAGGAGATGACATTAATCTGATGGGGTAGATGTGAACTCATCACAATTAATCACGATTGACTGAGATAAATCAACTTTGACACAAACTAAGGCTCGGGGGCTGGATGCGGCCCATTTAGCTTTTTAATCCGATCCGTCAAACTTTTCCAAATTATATAATTTATTTATACGTATTATCATCATACTTCTGGCTTTTCCCTGCAATACCAACGTTTCCCCAGTAGATGGCGTAGGAAATTATTATAAAGCATTTTAGCCTTTATGCCTGACTTTTACATGATTTATCTTAGTTCACAAGAATGCTCCATCTCTCTGCTCCTGACCCAGTCCCCGGTTCGATTTTAGGACAAATCACTAATTGACAATAGACTAATCAAAATGATAGCATTATTATGTGGACAAATGTCCATAAAAATGTCCAACAGGTGGTTGGACGGTGTAACTACAGGATACAGTTTGACAGTGTTAATAATAATGTGCTAAAAATACATCGACATTAAAACTATTTATTCAAACTTTGGTAAACTGGACCACCACTGGGGGTGTGAGGGGTGTTCTGACAAAGTCATTGAATAATAAAAAGACTAAAACAAGGGCAAAAATGCCAGAAGTCACCTAAGTGTCACCTAAAAAGTCAACTATTACTAACCAATCAATGAAAGAACGACGCGTCCTCTGATGGTTGTTGTCATTTCTAACAGGAAGTGAAGAGAACATACGGCCGCGATGAAAAAAAGACTAAAGAGAGTGGAGGAAGTTCTGACGTCGTCAGTGAAGACGATATCATCAGCAGAGCTGTGGGGCAGAGCTGCAGGGCAGAGCTGCGGGGCAGAGCTGTGGGGCAGAGCTGTGGGGCAGAGCTGCGGGGCAGAGCGGCGGGGCAGATGAAGACGTGTTGAGACACTGTGCAGTTACTGTGTGGCTGACTCTGACTTCCTGTTTGCTGCTTCACGTTAGAACATGTGACAAATTGAGAAAGGCTGAGGGGCAAACATCAACATCACACAAACAAACCCTCGACTCTGTCGTACCATCAACTCTGACTGACTGGCCATCAAACTGCAGAGTATGCTGAGAAATATAGCTCTATGTTTCCCAAACCTGGAAATGATGATGGTGCGTATGTGGTGTGTTGTCAACACATGAAAATAAAGTCAGAAATGAAACCAGGACATTTACCGCTAACACCCAGCAGCTAACGTCAGCCAAAAGTGTAACCACGGGCTGTGACAAAAAAACAACTGACAAATTGACAATAAAAAGCTCTAATTTAGAACCAACATAGGCAGTACTCAGATAGTATTTGAAACTCACTTTGTCAAAATGACTATTAAAAACTACAAAAACCAAAAGTTAGAAACAAATGTCGAGATTGAACTGTTTCAAGGTTGAAACCAACAAAAGTCCACAAACTGATGATGAACCCTCTGAAAACACACACAGAGGTTTTTGTTTCTTGATGTTTTCCCAGCAGCGGAGTTTGGATCTAGATCCTGGTCTGAGATGTTATCATGGACCTGACAGGTTCTCATGAACTGCTGCAGCTGAGTCACATTTATAGTTAAGTTATGGGGAAACTCTGAGAGAACAAGAGGAAGCACTGCACTGTAACTAAAACTCACTTCACCTTTATTCACTGCCACAGCTGACAAACAGGACTAAGTACCTGCACTGACCATTCACTGGTACAGGTGAGGTTCATTCATGACAGAAAATCAAGGACAAAGTCACTGATGGAGATGCTCCGAGCAACCGTACCTCAGCCCTGTGGCCACATTTGGGTTCTCAGTTGACACGTCAAACAGCCTTGCTACGACCAGGTTCAACGTAACGTGACCGTGACGTCGAAACAGTAAACTTTTCCAACCTCTAAAGCAGGGGTCACCAACTTGGTGCCCAGGTTAATTTCCGCGGTGTATGTTCTAAAAATAAAACTAGTCAACAAGAGGTTCTAAAATGGCACCGCTATTGTTCTTTAAGAATCAGTCACAACTGCAGTGATATTCAAATGGGTGTAATGATGATGGTAAGAAGAGTGACTCCTACTGTTCTGTACTGTTCTGTACTGTACTATTACATTGTTCAGAAAGTCTGTATTAAACAAGGAGGCCTTCAGCTCTCAGTTTCAAAGAGGTTGGTGAGCCCTGGTCTAGAGACTGTCACCACCATGTTCCCCCAACACTGGATCAACCACAAGTCTTCTTGTGGCTCCTGAGCCATCACTGCTCCCCATGCAGGAATGGGTTGCTGGTTTAAAGGCAGAGATAACTGTGGTATGACGATGATAATAAGGAAATCCTCTTCACTCTATTCTTAGCTTTTAACACAATGAACTATTGTCACGGTGTAAAACGGTCGCCTTAATTTCCTGGTGGTGACGGATCCGAGATGTTAAGATTTACAAAGTCTGGTTCTTCTTTTCAAATTCTATGACGTTTCATTATGAATGGAGAGTGCTATATAAACAGAGTGGGGGGGGAGGGGGGATGATTACTCAGTGTGAGGTGAATGGACTCATATTATAAGCCTGTGTGTTGTAATGGCACCTGTCATCAGTGACTGTTGTGTTGACACTCAGAGATTAATGACTGAGTGGAAAATACAGATACCTGAGCAGCAGCTATTGAAACAACACAAAGGAATGTTGTGTAAACAGTGGGGCAGAGCGGAGGCAGGGACACAGAGAGGAGAGGACAAGGACGACGGAGACGGGGACCAGGAGCAGCAGCCTATGGAATGTTCTTCTGTAAACGCTGAAGCCACAGGTCACACAGATCATGGTGTGTTCAAATATTCACTCAACAATCAAACCACTTCTCTCCAACCTTTCGACAAAGGTCAACTCAGCCAAGAAGACCAGCAAAACAATTTAACAAATTGTCAAAAGAAATTGCTACAAAAATCCATTGCCTACTTCAATTTTTAAACTAAAACAAGGCTAGGAAGACAAGCTAGCAGTCGGGGTGTGAGATAATATCAATACAGCGTGATATTTCATTTTCTGATACTGTATCAATCTCCTCCATCAGTGTATTGCTTTTTTTATCACCAATCCCCACTCAGATATTCCTGTTGGTTCATTTTCTTTTTCTTTCTCCTCTAGTGATTCCAAATGTAGATCCCTCTGTTCCAGTGTTAGTACCTGATGTTCAGATGGAACAGCAGCAGAGTCTTTACTGTCATCACACTTTGACGACAGACAAACTCAATATATCGTTGGGCCTGTAGTATCACAGTATATAGCAATAATGTACCATTGTCTCTGTTGTAATTTACGTTTAACTTTTTCATTTTTATTTAATTTTATCTGAGCCCCCCAACCCCTCCCCAAGGTGTCTGTTCAGAAAAATGCTGTCCCTCTGACAAATAAAGTTGTTCACCCCCTAGTCTAGAGATCAGAGACAAAAAACATCAGAGCAACACTTTACGATGTCCAAATCCAGAGAGAACCAGGTGTTAGTGTTGGTGAACCAGATGTTACCGTTGGTGAGTAGATTTTGGGTTAATTGAACCCAAAGAAGTAGAGAAAAAGAGAGCATCTTACCTCATAGGACCAGACGCACTGGACTCCAGCGAACCTCCTCACACAACGCCCCACTTCCACATCTTCGTGGGTGGTGTACATCTCCTGCAGGCACTCTCGGATGTGGGGCACCATCCTCCTGAGAACCTCTCGACTCATGATGACCCCGGGACCGCCCATACAGAAGTTCTCACCGGGCTCCAGAGCCAGTTTGCCCAGCTCGTCCCGGGCCCCCATCCCAGTCTGTCCCAGGAAGATGGCCTCGCTGCTGTTGAGGCTCCGCAAGAAGCTCTCCAACTTCTCGCTCTTGATGTAGACGTCGTCGTCCGCCCTCATGAACCACTCGTATCGGTCCAGGTAGTGGTCGTGCATGTACTTGAGCATCATGAAGGACTTCTTCTGAGGAGGGTACGAGTCGTCCACATTCCTCAGAGCCACGATGGGAATGGGAATGGAAGTGTCGGAGCCTTCACTGGAGAAGAACTCAACCCGACCTGGAACGGTCTGAGCCCAGGTCCTGAAATAGTGAAAGAATAATAAAATTACCTTACCAAGTGCCTGGAATTATTCATTCGCAATACTCTGAATACCATTAACTGTAATTGTGCTACATTCCCACCTAGTTTTTTCTCAGCTAACATTTAACTATATGTCCATTATATTAATGCTACCTTATTGGCTATCCTTAAAACATTTAGGTGCTAACGGTAGGACATCTTCTGACTAATTTATGGCCTTTAGTGGCAAAGATTACGACTTTGGGATTGAATTTTATCTTTTTTTTTTTGGTATTTTTTTACAGGTTTTTTGAGCTGTATTTGAAAAAATATGACAAAGATACATCTAAACAAACCCGGAGTGCTTTTTCAGTTTTGTTCTTCTTTAACTATCTTAACCTCTTTTAGGCTGTTTTTAAATTTTGTCCAATTATTAGTGATGCTAACCTTTAGCTTTATCTGACATTTTTCATGCTAGCCATTGCCTATATTTTTTGATTCTGAGAGAAAAATCTAATTTGTTTTGCTCTTATTTCTGTTAGAGAAGCAATTTTTTAAAAAACAGACAAAGTCGTAAAGAGATAAAAACAAACACGGGGAGAAAAGTTTTTAAAAAAAAGAGCTAAAAAGAGCAGACATCTGTCGCATGGATGTGGTTTAGGACTAAAAAGAGCAACTTGGAACAGAAATGGCTACTGATTCCAGGGAGAAAACACCACAGACTGTGACTGGATGTCAGTGAGGACAGTCATTCAGAGGTGAGGACAACAGGTCCACAACAAGACTGATAATACACAAACCTCAGCGTAAGTGTGTGGAATACTAACGAATCGTTGACAAAGACATCATCCTGTGGAACCACAGTGAGAACCACAGTAAGAACAGAGTTCGCTGTGAAGTCAGAATGTTGTTGGCGATGGACAACGATGGTTTCCGTTGTCATTTCAAGTCCATAACTGTGTTCACTGTCACATCACTGTTTCTCTGTGTTTTTGTTCAACTGGACTTTTCTTTGCACCGTTGTTGCTCAGTCTTTTCTTCCTTTTTCATCACAGCATCATTGTTCCTGGATTATCTGAATATTGACTCCAGAGAAACAATAATGACACAGAGCTTTGTACTTATTTGTTAAAAAAGAGAAACTGTCATGATATTTAACTTCTTTTTTTATGGCATTAATGTTCCGTACAAAACGTTCCAGATACAAAACCCTCATTGATGTGTTTGATTTATATTTCTACAGTAAAGACTGAGCCGTGTGACTACTCGTGTTCGGCCCTGCAGATGCACACGGATGACGTCAGCAGCTGGGTACGACTTTTCCACACGGCTGTGGCCTGATGTGCCTGACAGCAGCTCGTGGGCCAGTGGTTAAAGGATCTCACTCCTAATACGGAGGATTGCCAGTTCAAATTCTTTTCCAAGACTAAAAGAACTTTTGAAAGGAACCTGATTTGAGTTCTCAGACGAGACAAGGAAGACGTTCACTGATGGATGCAGTGTTTTACTGAAATATTTAGACTTCAATCTGGAAACATCTTTTACATGTCCAGAAAAAAAAAAAACAATTTTGTGTTTTTACGATTAGATCAATGATCCTCAACCACTGGGCTGTGGCACATCCGTGTGTCGTGACAGATCGTCATGTGTGCAGTAGAAGGTTGTCCAATTTCACTTCATTGTTCAACTTTTTCTCTTACTGCAAATAATTTGTCTTTGTTTCAGGTTTGAAATAGTGGCAGGCAGAACAATTAGATACTCTTCCACTAGGTGGCAGCAGTTGGCTATAAAAACAAAAAAAACAAAGAGAGAAATACTAAGAGTGGAGGAAGAAGATCTTGTGTGTCTATGCATGTCTTTCTTCAATTCCTGTGAGTATATCAGCGGTGTTCAACTAAACAGGCTCAGGTCAGTAAACTGTGACTAAACTGAAACTAAAAGATCATTATATTTTATGACATATAATTTATGTAACATTTTTGTTTGTTGGTTGCCTATGGGATTTTTCTCATGTAAAATATGTGCAGTTGGGAACTGTTTTGGAACTTTCTCCACTTAGTCTATCCAGTGTTAGGTCCATAGTGCTGACTATTAGATCACCCTTTGTCTGGGCAAACTGTGTGTGAACCACAGCACTCGCTGGTCCAGTAATGTTACTGTAGTGTTTTACAGCCAAACACAGAAGACGTCGACCTGCTGTTCTCTCCATCAGTCAGTTCCAATGTGTTATTTTGTGACGTTGTTGCTTAAAATGTTTCATTTAAATTGTGACCTCAGTGACCACAGCAGTGGAGCAGCAGCTGTGTGAATAGAAACCTCACAGTTGCTCTGCAGAGAATGTTATTTTCAGGAGAAACATGATTTTAATCCAAGGTCTCATAAGAAACAGCCACAGATAAAGTTAAAAATACCAACATGTGATTCACTTGACAGAAATCACATGAAACTGTTGAAGTAACTCAACTGTCCTGAAACTCTGCATGACAACGCAGGAAAATAGTAATAGTTTTGGAAAAATAAATTGCTGATATTAAATTCTTTAAAATTTAATTTTATGAAACAATTCATGATCATCAGATTACCGTCATTAGAACGCCAGTAAAACGTTAAACTAGGTTAAAAATAACTGCTGATGAGCGCCACCACTTCCAAGTTTTCCACACGGCTCTGTTTTTCTTTCTTCCTGCTGTTTGTCACATTTTCTTTTTGTTCCCTGAATAGTCCGTTAGCATTTACCAGGCTTTACCAACAACTAGAGCAAAAGCCACGTATGTGTCAGACTTAAGGGTCGCAGGCTGGATCTGGGACATCAAGTATATCAAGTTGCCAGTGGGAGTTTAAAAGGATCAATAACTGCCATACAATAAAAGTCTGTTTTGCTTTGGAACATGCATTGACCATATACTAGAACTCCCAAAATGCATTTCAAAATGACAGTATCTTGCCACAAGATATTTACGCATGTTTTTTCCCAACAATTCGAGGGATATCAACAAATGTGGGCAGTTTGTGTCACTGAGGTAAAATATATTAAATACTACATTGAAGTAACAATGTATTTAAACTTACATGACAACCTGCTGCTGTCGGCTAGGTTTTGGAGACAGATGTCGATAAAGAAAATCAGCAAATGTCTTCCTGAAATGAGCCAAGAGCTACTTCTGTGATGCTGCCTCTGGTGTTCAGTGCTGTAATGCTTGAATGAAAACAAGCCTCCAGTCACTAGGTGGCAGCAACTCATACAGTGGTTTGTACAGATAAAAATATACGTGATCAGGTTCTCAATATTATTTCAATTCGCTGGGATGTGTGGGGGGTGAAAACATGTCATGCCCCCACTGGGGGCATGACATAAAATAATTGACAACTACTGATTTGGAGAATGATCTCAAATACCAGATACATAATATGACATTTTCTTAGCACTTGTTTTCAGTTCTGGAAAAAAAAGTCTCATATTTTATAAAATCTACAAATTTTCCAGAAACAAATACCTCATTGATTGTCAACAGAGAAACGTATCAGAATAAGGTCTGTTAGAGTCGACCGTTATATTGAATGTGGTTTGAAGAGAAAAGCTCTTTCAGTGGCTAATAATCTGCTGCCTCTGCTGCCAACACCGTCTTACAGGGAGGGTTAGGGCCGCGATCCAAATCTCTGCAGTCCTTAAAGGATTATTCTGGTGTAAACACCAGCGCAGCGTTGTACCTGCACCAAACAACAACAGGCTGCAGTTTTGACTTTTTATTTCAACTCTACACACATTTGAAGTCCTCTTTTATGGCCTCGACTTCACTGGTGCTCAGGCGACTCCAGGCCTTTGTCAGGGGCTGAATGTGTTTTACTGCACAGGCGCTAAGACGGCCATCAGCACTCAGGTCATGACCACAGCGCCTGACCCCAACACCACACCATTTTCCACTGCTGCTCCGCAGCGACACGGAGCCTCACAGCCCAATTGTGTCGGTGCTGCAGCCTTTCATGCTCACTGACTGATGTGAGAGTGAGCAGGAAATGAAGTCAAGAAGCCAGGCTACGCTAAGTCCAGGACTCTTTTGTCAATTTTTTTATTTCAGCTTTGAGAGAAGGAGGCTTTTCAGTGGGAGATAAAGAGTCGGTGAAGGACAGTGGTCACTGGTTTGATTCTCTGAGTTGTACTTGAGTGTGTTTTTGAGGAAAAGAGAGAGAGAGAGAGAGAGAGAAAGAGAGAGAAAAGGAGAGAGAGAGAAAAAGAGAGAGACAGAGACAGAGACAGAGAGACTACTTCTGGGAAACGTGAATGTGTGTCATCAGTGGAGGAGTCAGTAATGACCGGGTCTGAGGTCGGAGCACATGTTCAGTGGAGATGTCAGAACGCCTCTTTTTAAAGGGATAGTTGGTGTTTCAGGACAGTTGAAAGACATACTGACAGTTAGTATCTGATCACTGCGTAGACCACCAGCTGAGACAGCAGGACTGGACGACTGGACTAGACCAGTAGATATAGTTCACCTCATCTAAACCAGGGTCAGTCTTCAACATCTGTCACAATCCCGAAATTGTGTGTATTATTGAGTTTTACTTTGTTGTTTTGCAACAAAAAACCATAGTCTTCTCTAATTAACAGTAATGACATCAACTGGTGGCCTATGGGCCAATTCTAGTCCATCAAACAAATCCGTCAAATCAGGGCCATGACTGGATTCCAGAATTGTGAGGATCAAAGAAAAAATATTGTATCGTGTTTGTACTGTCAGCAGTTTACAGGCTTCAGTATTAAAACAAATACTTTGGTTGTTGGTTCTGTTGATTGGAGGTTTACATGACAACGTAAAAAAGTTGAAATTTTTGCCCTGTGGTGTGTGGGCAACAGGTTTGGGCTCTAAACTTCTGTTGTCTCCTTGTTTTCTAAATGCAACTGTGATTAAGAAAGGTGACATCACCACATCAGCAGCACCGCTGTAACTGTTACTGTAACACCAACAGAGGGATAAATGGAGTACATTTTTAACTCTGAACACAGTATTCAACAGAAAAGTATTTGGATTCGGTAACTGTGTCAGAACTTCGGCACCGATGTTGTTGTCGATGGACAAAGAATTTTCCATAGATTTCTATTCAAACCTGTAACTAACAGACATCTTCTGTCCACTGTCCTTCCAGTGGACACTGGACTTCATCCAGTTTCTGTTTCAAACATGCACTGGTGAAAGATGACCGACAACCAACACTGGTTGAATCGACTTCTTCAGCTACAAATTATCGATATGATCGTATCGGCCTCCCATACAGGAACAAGGGTCACATTGTAAAGCACGGCCGGTAAGTGATGGAGAAAAGCTCGTACCTGTGCGCGGCCACGGCGCGACTCCTCAGGTACTTCTGCGCAGTCATGACACCCACGAACAGGAAGTTGTTGGACCGTGAGCCGGGCTTCTCTGTGGCCGGTGAACCGTTATCTGGCGGCGGCCATTGTAGCAGCGCCGCTCCGGCGCGCTCCTTCCTCTGTGCAGCCGCTGCCGCGGTGAGGCCGCAGGCGGCGGGCTTGTCCCTACGTGCGTGTCCGCCTTTCTTCAGCTCTGTGGCCCTGGGAAGAATGAGTCTAGATGCCAGGGTGAAGCCGAGCACCAGCCCCAGCAGAACACTGAACCAGGCTCTCCTGCTTCGAGCTGCCATTCCCCTCGAAACTTCACCGGTACCCCCGCCGCCGCTGCTGCCGCCGCGTCCCCGCTGCGTCCTCCACCGCGGGACCAGAGA